ACTGTGATACTCTTGCTCAGCCCCCTGCACCAGAGGGCCTGAGCTCCTTAACTGTGGTATTGTCGCTCAGCCCCTGCACCTAAGGGCCTGTAGTGAGTCGGCATGGCTCCCCTCCTGTCCAGGAGGGTCGAGCCCCGGCACGAACCTTCCACACAGATGTTTTCTGTAATGGACTGTGTGATTGATAAGGAATCATTGTTATTACAGATGGGTTCTGTAATGGATGAAACAATGACCCATTGAAAGATGGTTTTAACTCAGTAAAACTGCCGGTTGTAACAGCTGTCAGTAATAATGATCAGATTAGAATTCCCTTTAGTTTATTGATCATGTAACCTAAAAATTCCATAAAAGAAATTCCATAAGTAATTAGGTAAAACAAAAATGTCAAAACAAGACACATAGTGAAATTAATCGCGGGAAAGCAATTTTCCCTTACAAAAAGGAGAGCCTCTGTCTCATGCTCTATAAAAAACAAGGGATTTGAAAGTCAGCTCGGCGAGTGCTAACTGCTCAAATCTCATCACTTACAGAAGAGAGAGACTCAGAGGCCAGGTTTTTACCTGATATCAAGGGTCAGAATGCATCTATTATTTCTGTATTCTGTATAGTGCTCTACTAATCTCAGATAGTTAATCTTTGATTAAATAATTCCATTTGAGTCTATTTAACAATCTCAAGTAATTAACTTCAAGCACGCAACATTATGGACATTTCCCCACTGTGTCATTTCCCATTCACCTTGTTTGATTTCACTATGTGTATTTTTGCCATGTGCTGCACTTGGTGATCTCTCGAGTCCTAAATTGGACAGTAACTATAGTTTAGTTGCTTCTGTCCTCTATCTTCAGTCATGTCCTCTGCTTACTCAAAACTACCTGAAAAAATTGCCTCACATATTTTCCTCATTACATACACCACTCATAAATACAGGGCACTTTCTTCTTCAAAAACACTGGACAAGTATTCACTCGAGTACTACCATCTCCATTTTACAGATGGAGAAACAGAAGCAAGGAGGTTAAGTGACCTGCCCAATGCCATAGAGTAAATCAGTTGCAAAATTGGGATTAAAATTAAGGAATTCCTGATTTACTTTCAATCTCATCATTATTCCTCTAGATCAAAAGGTTTCTAAACCATTCTACACCATGCCCAACAGCCTGTTGCTTGAGTTGTTGTTTTTATATCACTGGTGCCACAGATACGGAAGCTGGAAAATAAATTATATTCAAAAGGTATTAGTGGATCTCAGTTCATGATTAGGTAGGCTCCTAATGCTACAGTATTAGTTCAGTTTCTTTTTTCATTTTTTCCATTTGTTATAGTGATTTCATTCTGTTTAGACATGAGCCTGAGCCAAAAACTTAGGATCCAAATCTAGATCTTCCCTGCAGGCAGATGGAAACTCTCTAGATCCAGGGTTTTGGCTCAGATCCATTGTTCAATTCTGTTGCTGCATCAGATTATGCAGGTTAAACCACATCCAGCTGGAACACAGACAAACCAAACAAAAAAACAAAAGCAAAAAAATCCCAAGCAACCAACCAAAATGTTTCAAACTTTTTGAAACTAAAAAAAAATTAAAAGATTTGGTTTGGGTATTGACCAAGTGTCTGGGCAGAGGAAGAGCTTATTTTATCCAGCACAGTTTGCCCATTCTGACTAATATTATTATTATTTTATACATCACATTGTGCTAGGCAGCCTATAAACACAGAGTAAAACACTGTAAATTCTCCAGAGTAGGAACTCAATCTAAACTGTCAAAACAGAGAAAAGATGTGAAATAAGCAGTATTATTAACCCCATTTTATGAACGGGGATCTAAGGCAGACAGACAGACAGTGACTTCGCCCAGGTCACCCAGAAATCTGTGCCAGATCCAAGAACGAATTCTAAATCCGATGAGTCATAGTCGAGTGGCTTAACCATAAGACTATTCTTTATGTTTGCAAGAAAGATATTTTTCCCCTGGTCAACATAAAATGTATAAATGCATGGGGCTTAATTTTCCCCTCATTTACACTAGCATGACTCACCTGACTTCAGTGGAACTCTCAAAAAGTGTCCGTTTGTGTTCCTGGGTCAATTTCTTATCTCAATGATCGAATACAGGGGTTCTAAAATAGCTTCCATGCTGCTGAACATATCTCAATAGAGAGAGAGGGTCTCACACACCTCCCATCTCATTTACAATCCCAAAACATCCCTGTAGCAACTACACCAATTGCTCACTTGAGCAGGTAAGATTGGGAAGTGTTTAATGTTATTTTAGCTGTCAATGTGATTTAGGAGGAACAAGGAACAGAGCTTACTCCATATAAGCAACCAGCTCTCTGGAGACCACCAGTGAGTGCTCTACAGACTAGAGTCTATCAACTTCTATTCTAAGGTAAAAATTCTGTTCTCTGATCCACATCTCAGCTCTGATATTCCTAGTTGCCCCTTGAACTCCCATTTGTGGTATTGAAAGCTCTGTGTATGTAGAGATAGAACAGACTCTTGGCATCACAGTCCACTGTGAAAATCTGACAGCAGGATTTTGCCCTTAAGTACAAAATCTGAAAGGCACAGTGGGGGGTGGAGGGGGAGGGGAGAGAAATCATAACAAGAAGCTTAGCCTGCAACTAACTAATTGAACTGTTCAAAGGCTGGGCATTTTGAGCCATTTTTCTTTATTTAGGCTCTCGAACATCTGTCCAGATGCTGACAAACACATACAGTAAGCTCAGTTTAATTTGAATTTGCACCTACAGGAGATGATGTTCCCATATCTATTCTTATTGCGGTTTTCATCTTCCTTGGCCGTATCCCAAGATGCCGTCTGCCCCTCGGGTAGAGCCTGAAAAATAAACAGTGGAAGAGTGTTTATAAAAAGAGTGGCCAATGCCTTCAGGTGGTTTAACATGACAAAGCTGGGCAAAAATAAAGGCGATGTATAATTCAGTACTCAACCAACCAAACAGCTGTTCTCAAGGAGGAAAAGGCACATCGGATTATGCAAAAGGCACAGCTCTGCAGAGACCATTAGCACCCTTTGGCTTATGCTGGCTAAGAATCATTTTCCTCCCGCAAGTATGGACCTAAAAGGAATGGGGAAGTGCATTTGCTTCTGGCGGCATATTTATAGAGCGAGCGACGTTCCCCCTGCAGTGCAGGGTCCGTGAGGGTTTCACACACATATGCCCCTGAGAAAGACCAGATGGCTGAAATGCAGAACTCAGTCTTGTAGGATATTTAAATGGAAAGTATATAGGGTGGTTTCTCCTATTTCTGGATTAATAACAGTGGGATACCAGTCTTCAGTAACTACACCATACGAACCTTCTGCTAGTTTTCTTAAAGGAATTCCTGCAAGGCTTTCCCACCTCGCCCACACAGAAGGATATTATAGCCATTGTCTTTGTACGACACAGGGATTGAGCATCAAATGCTGCATAAAATGTACACCCAGACACACAGCTAAAGGACATGGCCACAGTTATAAACCTGGGATTTGTTTCTTGGAGGGGGAGGTCCCACATCCCACTGCTCGCATTTGAACCAGCCTCTGACTTGGTCACATGAGTCCCTTTGGATATGATCATATGGACCATTTTCCCAAATGAAGGTTCTTATGGAAATAGCCAGGAAAAAGGCACATCTCCTGGGACATGGCCAGGGAGGCAGACTTTCCCCTCTTTGCAACATGGCTTGAAGTGTCTGTAAATTGGGATGATCACTCAAGACATAGTCAGGGAAACTTCAGCATGGGCAGTTCAGAGAAGCAGGAGCAGCATTCTCTTTTGGGACACAGATGGCACTAACCTTCTCTTAGTGCCACTTGCATAGCTTCTCACAGCTGAGACAGAAAACCACAAACGTGAATTCTCAGCTGTAGCCCCATCCTGGCTTTGCTCAGTGTTGGGAATGTAAACGGCCGCTCCTATTTACCTTCCCCTGAGATTTTCTGTCACTTTGCCAGTCCCAAGCATGACTTGTAAGCAAATTCCAAGAGAATAATAGCAGTGTTACAAACTGTATTATTTAGGATTCTTAGGAAATAATGTTTTTTTTAATTTAACCCTTGGAGACTTTATTTTGCCTTCACTAGCAGTGGGTAGTTTGCAATAGCCCAAATTTGAAAATAAACTCACATGTATCTTCACAAGCCATCCAGGTCTATTATTGTGTCTGATTGGGGATGGAAGAGAGACATAATAACTAGGATCTACAAACCTGACATTGCAATAAAACGTGATCTGAGCGACTTCCTGGCAGATCTTGAATTTCCTCTCATAGAGTTCCAGGACAGATAATGTCAGGCACATCTATGAGTGTTGTTGACAACAGGGAAGGCAAGACCCAATTCAAAAGCCCAGGAGCAAGAGGTGATAACAGTAATTGGTGAGGGCTTTGATCACACTTCTATTTCCTTTTACAGAGAGCTACTACATAATAGCAGCTAATCTCCTGGGCAAAAAAAATAAGTACAACAAAGTGGGTGTGGGAGGCTCATTTTCATCTTCAAAGAGAAGGGAAAAAAGGTGCCTTATTTTTACATTAGGATCTAGTTACAGTACATTGACCAGAGCATGGCAATAGTCATTAGCAATCTAATCATAAACTTTTGAGAAGAAAAAAAAATCCCACCTCATCATATTTATACCAGGGTGATGCGGTCTTGTCCAACCAAAGGGGATGCAGTCAGATCCAATAAAACCCATATCATTAGGAAAGGGATTGATAAGAAAGAAAATATCATATTGCCTTTATATAAATCCATGGTACGCCCACATCTTGAATACTGCGTGCAGTTCTGGTCGCCCCATCTCAAAAAAGATATATTGGAATTGAAAAAGTTTCAGAAAAGGGCAACAAAAATTATTAGGGGTATGGAACGGCTTCCGTATGAGGAGAGATTAATACGACTGGTACTTTTCAGCTTGGAAAAGAGGCGGCTAAGGGGAGATATGATTGAGGTCTATAAAATCATGACTGATGTAGAGAAAGTAGTTAAGGAAGTGTTGTTTACTACTTCTCATAACACACGAACTAGGGGTCACCAAATTAAATTAATAGGCAGCTGGTTTAAAACAAACAAAAGGAAGTATTTCTTCATACAACGCATAGTCAACTTGTGGAACTCTTTGCCAGAGGATGTTGTGAAGGCCAAGACTATAATAGGGTTAAAAAAAGAACTGGATAAGTTCATGGAGGATAGGTCCATCAATAGCCAAGATGGGCAAGGATGCAAAACCATGCTCTGAAGTGTCCCTAGCCTCTGTTTGCCAGAAGGTGGGAATGGGTGACAGGGGATGGATCACTTCATGATTGCCTGTTCTGTTCATTCTCTCTGAAGCACTGCCAGTGGCCACTGTCGGAAGACAGGATACAGGGCTAGACGGTCCATTGGTCTGACCCAGCATGGCTGTTCTTATGTTCAAATAACCCTATCCTTCCACTGATTTGAGCATGAAACTTCCCATTTAAATTGATGAGGATTTCTGCTAAAAGAAACCACTGGCCTGCTATGACCTCAGAAGATTCAAGAGGAAGCTGATGATTGTTCTTCTCACTGAACACTGAGTTATTTTACACTATACTAAGATATCAATCTCTGTTTGAATGGAAGGCACGGATTCCCTGTTTGAGGGTACCATTTGTGCAAATGCTTTTCCATTAGCAAGATGAACAAATTGGAGAAACTGCACCACTAACCTCCGGATCTGTGATCGGCAATGAGGTAGGTAGAGGTGTGGCTGTTAATATTTGCATCTACAGCTGAAATGGAAGTGCAAAAATAACAGGCACAAATTAAACTGCATCCACGAAAGGGAGACCACATCTGAAATTCTACACTAGAAGTTTTTTTTATATAACAAGCATTTCTGCACCACTGAGATGAGACAGGATTTCTGTTATCTGTGCAATATAAAAAACTTGTAACTAGTTTTCATTCTGCTAGTTTAAAAATCAAAATAATTTTATTATTTAAAGCAGGATAGATAAAAGTCATGATTAAAAAAAAATCAAAACAATTGTCCAAATTTAAATCAGATGTTTTATTTATGTGTTGCTAGCTCTTTATTTTTTTTCTCATTTTATGCTCAAGAGTGACTATTCTGCACTTGTTTATTTAGTTAAGCGCTTTCTGGTCGTTTGTAGAATTTCAGTGTTCACAAGATCTGGGTCTTAATTTTCAATGCTCTTTTCCTACAGAAATTTTTGTAAAATGTAAATAAGATCCCTACCAGTTAGGAGACAAACAGTATTTATAATTTATTATATAATTAATAGGGATCATCAAATAGTGGAGGTAAATGCGTGGTTGCGCAGGTGGTGTCGGAAAGAGGGCTTTGGATTCTTCAACCATGGGATGCTGTTCCAGGAAGAAGGATTGCTAGGAAGAGATGGGATCCACCTAACGAAGAGAGAGAAGAGCATCTTTGCAGGCAGGCTTGCTAACCTAGTGAGGAGGGCTTTAAACTAGGTTCACCGGGGGATGGAGACCTAAGCCCGGAGGGAAGTGGGATACCGGGAGGAAACACAAGGAGAAGGGTGCAACAGGGGATGCCTCCTTATTCATACTGAGAAAGTAGGGCAATCGGCTAGTTATCTTAGGTGCCTGTACACAAATGCAAGAAGCCTGGGAAACAAGCAGGAAGAATTGGAAGTCCTGGCACAGTCAAGGAACTATGGTGTGATTGGAATAACAGACATTTGGTGGGGGTAACTCATATGACTGGAGCACTGTCATGAGTGGGTATAAACTGTTCAGGAAGGACAGACAGGGGAGAAAAGGTGGAGGAGTTGCACTGTATGTAAGAGAGCAGTATGATTGCTCAGAGCTCCAGTATGAAACTGTAGAAAAGCCTGTTGAGTGTCTTTGGATTAAGTTTAGAGGTGAGAGCAACAAGGGTGATGTCATGGTGGGCATCTGCTATAGATCACCAGACCAGGAGGATGAGGTAGAGGAGGCTTTCTTCGGACAACTAAGAGAAGTTTCCATATCTCAGGCCCTGGTTCTCATGGGGGACTTCAATCACCCTGACATGTGCTGAGACAGCAATACAGCAATGCACAGACAATCCAGGAAGTTTTTGGAGAGTGTCGGGGACAACTTTCTGGTGCAAGTGCTGGAAGAACCAACTAGGGGCTGTGCTCCTTTTGACCTGCTGCTCACAAACAGGGAAGAATTGGTAGGGGATGGCAACCTGGGCAGCAGTGACCATGAAATGGTCGAGTTCAGGATCCTGACACAAGGAAGAAAGGAGAGCAGCAGAATACGGACCCTGGACTTCAGAAAAGCAGACTTTGACTCCCTCAGGGAACTGATGGGCAGACTCCCCCAGGGAACTGGGAGGCTAATATGAGGGGGAAAGGAGTCCAAGAGAGCTGGCTGTATTTTAAAGAAGCCTTATTGAGGGAGCAGGAACAAACCATCCTGATGTGCAAAAAGAATAGCAAATATGGCAGGCGACCAGCTTTGCTTAACAGAGAAATTTTCAGTGAGCTTAAACACAAAAAGGAAGCTTACAAGAAGTGGAAACCTGGACAAATGAGTAGGGAGGAGTATAAAAATATTTCTAGAGCATGCAGAGGTGTAATCAGGAAGGCCAAAGCACAATTGGAGCTGTGGCTAGCAAGGCACGTGAAGGGTAACAAAAAGGGTTTCTACAGATATGTTAACAAGAAAAAGGTGGTCAGGGAAAGTGTGGGACCCTTACTGAATAGGGGAGGCAACCTAGTGACAGATGATGTGGAAAAAGCTGAAGTACTCAATGCTTTTTTTCCTCGGTCTTCACAGACAAGGTCAGCTCCCAGACTGCTGCACTGGGCAACACACTATGGGGAGGAGATGAGCAGCCCTCAGTTGTGGAAGAACAGGTTCAGGACTATTTAGAAAAGTTGGACATACACAAGTCCATGGGGCTGGATGCAATGCATCCAAGGGTGCTGAGGGAGTTGGCTAATGTGATTGCAGAGCCATTATCTTTGAAAACTCGTGGAGATAGGGGGAAGTCTCAGACGATTGGAAAAAGGCAAATATAGTGCCCATCTTTTAAAAAGGGAAGAATCTGGGGAACTACAGACCGGTCAGCCTCACCTCAGTCCCTGGAAAAATAATGGAGCAGGTCCTCAAGGAATCCATTTTGAAGCACTTGGAGGAGAGGAAGGTGATCAGAAACAGTCATGGATTCACCTGATTGCCTTCTATGATGAGATAACTGGTTCTGTGGATATGGGGAAAGTGGTGGACGTGATATACCTTGACTTTAGCAGAGCTTTTGATAAGGTCTCCCACAGTATTCTTGCCAGCAAGTTAAAGTAGTGTGGATTGGATGAATGGACTATAAGGTGTACAGAAAGCTGGCTAGATCATCAGGCTCAACAAGTAGTGATCAATGGCTCGATGTCTAGTTGGCAGCCGGTATCAAGCGGAGTGCCCCAGGGGTCGGTCCTGGGGCACAGGTGAGGCCACATCTGGAGTAGTGCGTCCAGTTTTGGGTCCCCACTACAGAAAGACTGTGAACAAATTGAAGAGAGTCCAGCAGAGAGCAATGAAAATGTTTAGGGGGCTGGGGCACGACTTATCAGGAGAGGCTGAGGGAACTGGGCTTATTTAGTCTGCAGAAGAGAAGAGTGAGGGGGGATTTGATAGCAGTCTTCATTCACCTGAAGGGGAGAGGGTTCACAAGAGGATGGAGATAAGCTGTTCTCAGTGGTGGCAGATGATAGAACAAGGAGCAGTGGTCTCAAGTTGCAGTGGGGGGAAATCTAGGTTGGATATTAGGAAAAACTATTTCACTAGGAGGGTGGTGAAGCACTGGAATGGGTTACCTAGGGAGGTGGTGAAATCTCCATCCTTAGAGGTTTTTAAGGCCTGGCTTGACAAAGCCCTAGCTGGGATGATTTAGTTGTGGTTGGTCCTGCTTTGAGCAGGGGTTTGGACTAGATGACCTCCTAAGGTCTCTTCCAACCCTAATCTTCTATGATTTTATGAATGGGATAAAAGCCAGACTTCACACTCCATAATAAGCACTGAGAAGTCCATCCTGAAATGCCTTAGGTACCAGCCACAAAATCCAAAATAAATAAAATACCCCAGTAGTGCAGCATGGGTATGCAGTAAGCTATTCACTTCTGGGGAGCTGTATCAATGCTGTCCTCAACCACAAATGAAAATGAATTTGGGCATCTGTCTTCCTCATCTTCCACACTGGCAGTCTTTGCTCATAGGAAGCTTAGACTAGGATCAGAGGTGCTGCAAGTCAGAACTAAAGTGTACTGAAGGTTGAGTAAGTGACATTTAAACAAGCCATCCCCACATTATGCCTCATTCTGACCAATGTTATCAATCCCTGTTGTTAGTGTCACATTTTATTCCTATATATATATATATATATATATATATATATATATATATATA